CCATATATAGAGATAATCTTTTAAATTTTAATATTTGATTTTTCATAAAGGGTAAAAGCTACTAATTACTAGACTCGATACTATCTTAAATCTCTAAAATTTGAACTCCATTAGTGTTGAGAAATATTTATATATATATATATAATATTATTTTACATATTCTAAAATCTATACCATAATACAAAGTTATCCCTAATTGAAACAGTAAATAAATGTTCAATTGAAGTTTCCATTTTATGACACATGTTGCTTTATAATTACCCTTCAATTAATTTTTATTTTAAAATTTAATAAAGCTATTATTATTATTTAAAGTAGTTCCCAAATCTATTAACATATGGTTAATTTCAATGGCAAACAAGGTGTGTTATCTAGGTTTGAATCCACTGAAAGGCTATGAAAAGATAACTTCTCATGAATTTGTTAGACCCAACATTAATAAATCTATTTAAAATCGATCTAGAGAAGGATGAACTTGGTAGAATTCAAGAACCTTGTACCTTTAAATAAAAAAATAGTCTCCAAATTTATTATTATTTGTAAGGCATCCAATTTGATGACATTTGTCATCTTATGATTGGATGTTTAATAATTTTTTTATATTAATTAAAAATAAAGGTAAAACTAAATTGTTTAAATAAACTTTTACATAAAAAAAAGTTTTTGGGTAAAAAATTACAAAAAAATTTTAAAAAATAATATAAATACTTTGTAAAAAATATTTTTATAAAAGAATTACAAAAATTATAAAATATTATTAATTGCTTGATGAGTGTCAAATAATTAGCTCTTTAAAAGACTATTCTTTTTTTTTAATTAATATTGTACTTTACATATATTTATATCTTCATACATAAATAAGAAAAATATATAAACTTAAATTCAAATAATTTATATTATTTTAAAAATTAAAGATATCATTGATAGACAATTTTCATTCAATTAGGTCTTGCCTTTTGTTTTTCTTAGAATTTGCTTCAAAAAAGAAATTTAAAAAAATTGAAGAAGATACTTCAGAGAAACCTTTGGCAGCCAAGGAAGTCAAAGAAAAAAATGCAGTGGAGAAAATGGGTTTTGGAACTTAGCACATCCATCTGAATATTACACTGTAAGGATCGTTACTAATAGTTAGTATTCACATTACTTTTGTGTTTTTTTTTTTTTTTTTTTGGGGGGGGGGGGGGGCTGTTACTATGACTAGGAACCAACCAAGAAAAAAGTTCATTAAATCACTTTGTCTGATCCAAGAAATTCATACGCGGAATGGAAATTAATGGGAAATAACTTGGAGGAGTTGTCCAGAGTGATGTGGACTTCAATATTATCTTCAATGAAACAAGCAACTTTACTTTCCTTTTCGAAAGTTTCCTTTGACTATATATAAAAACTCCAAAGGCAACTTGGACGATGGTGAAGTTACGTTGTTAGAAGAAAGAACAAACGAGAATATGTCGGTGGCTAGGTAATATTAAGGGAGGGAGATTCTTAATAAACTTATTTAGATAAAGTTTGTAAAATTTTTTATTAAAAATAATTTAATAAAAATCAATTGAATTTAATGAAAAGATTAATATATATTAAAAAATTATTAAAAATATAATTTATATTCAAATTTGATAAATATTTATTTAATAGTAAAAAATTTTGTTAAGTTTTTTTATTAAAAATATCTATTTAAAAATATATCAAATTTAATTAATTTTTTTTAAAATTTATACATTTAATCTATATAACAAGATTTTTTAATTTTGATTTTAAATTGTAATTTTTATAATATAATATAATTTTTAACACAAATAAACACAAACTTATATGTATCCATTCATCATACCTATGTGAGCCCTCTCAATCTCATTTAGTCCACTTCAAAACATTTAATTTACACACTCATAAGATGTAAATCTCTAGGATTGTCTATTCCATAAAACCCTACAACTCTCGTACATTTTTTTTATCACACCTAACCCTGTAGAGACTTTACTTATTTATAACTATACAAACTTGCTTATTAAGAATCCCTTTTCTTTTAGAATTTTTCTTTTGCAAGTCAAACTTGCCTATTAAGAATCTCTTTCTTTTTAGAATTCATCTTCTGTAGGTCAAATTTGCTTATTAAGAATACCTTTTCTCTTAGAATTCTTCTTTTGTAAAGTTTTTTATCCATCAAGAAATATCTGGCTAATCACAAATAAATCTCTTATATTTTTTATTGATTATTTGATTATACTTCTGTTGACACGAATTAGATTGGGGCTTTTTGCCCAACAAGTCAATTGTTGGGAATAATGACTCAAATCCCATAAGAGATTTATTTAAGATTGGTCATATATTATTTGATAGACAAAAAGACTTATAGAAGAAGAATTCTAAAAAGAAAGAGATTCTTAATAGGCAAGTTTGACTTGCAGAAGAAGAATTCTAAAAAAAAAAGATTTTTAATAGGCAAGTTTGTATAATTATAAATAGTTGAAGTCTCTACAAGATTAGGTATAAGAAAAAAAATAAGAAAATTGTAAGGTTTTGTAGGATAGACACACATAAGAGTATTGGGGATTTACGTATTATAGGTATATAAGTTTGAATGTTTAGGAGTGGACTAAAGAAGATTGAGAGGGTCTACTTAGGTATGATGAATGGGTACATATGGGTTTGTGTTTGTTTGTGTTGAAAGAGTGCACATGGGATGTATTTGTTTGGGTTGAGAATACTCCATAGGACTAGAAAAGATTGAAAGGGTTTATGGGTATTAGTTATGAGTGTTTGATTTGATTTGATATTTATTTATAATTTTCTATAACTAATGGATCTTGTTTCTCATCTATAGACGTAGGTCGGTTGGATCAAACTACATTAAATTATTGTCTCTTATATGATTGATTGATTGTTTGATTTCACTTTCACTGGTGTGATTGAATTGAAGCTTTTTAGCCTAACAGAAGTTGCCCCATTTATGACCCATCATTTTAAAATTTCATTGCATCATGCATGAAGAGGAATGTTTTCCAACTTTAGCCAAATAAACTTTTCATAACTTATTAAGTCATGTCTCCAAGGTTTTGTCCAGAAGAACCATTCTTCAAGTCACGTTTTACCATCTCCTAACATGCTAATCACTTCTTCTTTGGATTCGAGCTGTAGTAGAACCATACTTCCTCCCATCATTCTTACAGAAAAGTGCATAACTCATTCACTAAATGTGTGTTGTTGAAGAATATGGATTGCTTGTGGGTTTTTTACCTCTGCCACTGCACACTTCTCTAACCAATCCGTCAAAAAGTCTTCCTCTTCCACAATAATCTGGTTCTGCCTTTGATTCTTATCTTCTACTGCCAGAGCTGGTGGCGCTATTCCTTTTGGGTTTGTTGCGTTGACGCTGCCTTCCTGCATTGTTACATGCTCCGCTAGAACATACATTTTTACCCCTTTTGCATAGATTGTTCCCAGCCTTCTTAATTTTCATATGCGAGATAGGAGAACTAAAGGAGGGTTTTGCTTTTCATTTGATTTATTGTAGATATTCCACTATGACTTTTCTCGTACTTGGCTAGACCCACCCTCAATCTCCATCCATTCCAAACGGATCCGTCAGATGCTTTTATGACAGATAGAGCCTTATGCAAATCCTTGAAACGAAAGAAGCCAAATTTGCTACGCCTAGATATTTTCCTCTTTAAATGAATGTAGACATCTAGGATTCTCCCTTGCTACATGATCTTATCCCACAATATCTACTTCCCTGCCTTGAGGATCGATATTATCGACAAAGACTATGATTAACTTCCTTTTCCATTGTTCTATCTCTGAACGCAATTGCCTATACCCCTTTGATCGATTGCAACTGTTCGTCTTGCCGTACCCCTTCCACTTTCTCGCTTTACTTTTCATCTCTCTCTTTCAAAAGTATACTTGTTATTCTTGTTAATAGTTTACCTCACATGAATTATGAAACCTTTGATTATATTTGATGGAATTAGAAGAGTTAATGTTTTACTTTTTGAACATTTCATGAAAGTTGTAATCGGATTTCAGATACTTTTTAAACATTTCGACTTCAGCTTGCAAGTGCAACTTTGTAGGGAGGGGCAAGAGAGAGAAGTTAAGGAAGTAGAATGTGTAATAAAATACTAACGTAGAATTTAATTGAGTGAAAGTATCTATATTTTAGAATAAAATTTAGAAGTGTTTTAGTTAAGGAATTAAAATTAAAAATACTTGGGTTTGAGAAAAAACTCATCTTTACAATTAAATATGTATTTAGATAATTATGTTTATATAAATAGATATCTATTTGTACAATTATATCTAGTATATTTATTCAATTATAATTATTTTTTTAACTTTTAAAAACATATAAAATATTGATCTTTAATCAAATCAAATAATTTTGTACATTTGAATAAAATAAAATAAACAAAATAAATCTTAAGCAAGTTTTTTTTACCCAAATCAAATAATTAATATTTTTAAATCAATGAATATTTAATGGATTGATTTCGTTACTATAAAGCATAATCAATTATTGAATTTTATTGCATCCGCCAAAGTATATGACTGAAACTTTTTTTTCTCGTCCAATAATTATGAGGTGAGGAGCAATGCAATAAAACATTAAAAAAAAATGACCTGATACACGTCATGAAAATTTTCGTCAAATTTTCTTATTTTCGTACGTGTATGGTCCCGTTGATTTAATGCTAAACGGCATCAATCTTCATCATTTGGAAAATTCCCGACAACTAATCCTTGGAAATTTGGTTCCTAGTCAATAAACAAAAACAAATATATTTAAAAGCCATATATAGACTTTCACTCCGGATAGAAAACACATATAAGAAAGTTGCCACGCGCCTTCAACGAAAATACGGTCCCCAATTGATATATTCTGGTTTTTCTGCTTTCTTAATGTTTCCTTGTTAACCCAAGTCTCCGATCTTTCAATTAATTGTAATTGGCCTTAAACTATTTCAAATTTCCTCCTATAGTCATTTGGTTTTTCTGACATGGATGAAAGTTTGAGAACAGCTGCTCGGCAAGGAAACATTAGTGATCTGTATAGATTAATTCAGGAAGATGGTAATGTTTTGAAGCGCATTGAGAAGGTGGAGTTTATCGACACTCCACTGCACGTAGCTGCAGATGAAGGGTGCATTGATTTTGCAATGGAGTTACTGACCTTAAAGCCCACGTTTGCTAGGAAGCTAAACCAACAAGGCTTTAGTCCCATTCATCTTGCAGTGGAAAAGGGGCATAAAGAGCTTGTGCTACTTCTCTTGGAAAATGATAAAGATCTTGTTCGTGTCAAAGGGAAGAAGGGTGAGACTCCATTGCACTACGCAATAACCAGAGAACACAAACATGATCTCATAGCCAGATTTCTGAAGGTTTGTCCTGAATGCGTCCGAGATGTGACAACTACAAACGAGACTGCCTTGCATATTGCAACAAGAAACAATGAATTAGAAGCACTCAAACTCTTATGCGGGATGCTTAGGAGGACTGACTATCGTGAGAAAGTGGTGAATCAGAAAGACAGGAATGGCGAAACTGCCTTGCACATAGCTGCCCGCGATAATCGACATGAGGTTCTACACATATGCTCTAATTAATTCTACTTTTAGCAAAAGAAATAGATTCATTTTAGATTGTATAATATCATCAAGCGCTTGATTATACAGATGCTCAAACTGCTATTGCAATGCAAGGCTGATAAACATGCGACTAATCAGGCTGGTTCAACGGCACTGGATGTCGCACAACAACTTAATAACAGAGAATGCATTAGAATTCTGCGTGGTTGCTGTATTCCAAGAGTTTCAAGTTTTTATTATAAATTGGAGAAACAAATTTTCAAGTACGTGTCTAAGGCATCAACTTTAATATTTCAAGATATGGACAATATATCAATTGAGGACCGCAATGCCTTACTAGTAATTCTAGGACTGCTTTTAACAGCAACATACCAAGCCGGTCTTAGCCCACCTGGCAGTGTTTGGCAGGGAGACAGTTCCTCAAACTCCATTGACAATCAAAGAGATAAAGAAAAAGTAGGAAAATCAGTCATGAAGGAAATTGATTTTCTTTATTTCTACATTCCATCCTCGGCTGTCTTCATGGTAACGTTTTTCTTAACATTGGGTCTCCTTAAACCTTTTCCTCGTGGTTTCAGAACTGCTCTTCAGGTACTCCTTGCATTTCTTGCTATATGCTTTTATGAATCAATCTTTCACCTAGCGCCAACTGATTTAGCAGCTGGAGTTATCGATGCATTTTCAGTTATGGTTTTAGTTTTGATGATGTTCATGTGTTTTGCTTATCGGGTGTCAAAAGTTAGTGTTTTAATTCTAGGATGTTGTTTATTCCGTACAAGTATTCTGTTTCATAGTTTGATAGGAAATGTAAATGTAGGATGTTGGTTATTCCTTTTTCTATATGATGAATTCTGGAAAGGAACAGCTTTAGTTGTAGGGTATTGTTTTCTTATTGTTGTGGGTAGTCGAGAATTCATCATACAACCTATTTTGATCCTAGGATGCTGGTTGTTACTTTGTCTCTGTCGATTCTGCATAAAGTGGTGCAATGAACATTGAAATGCCTGAACAGTCAAGCAATGCACCATGTCCGTGTCCATGTCCCCTACACATGGATTTCAGTTATATTTGGTGGATGTACAAATTGTATCATAAAAAGGTACTACAATTTTCCTTCCATCATTAGTTTTCTCAATTTTTTAAGTTTAAAAAAATGTTAAACAGGCAATTTCGATTGTTAAATTTGTTTTCCCTCCATTTTGGCCCATTTGATGGTGACAATTCTAATTAAACAATTGCAAGTTAATATGCATTTATAAGTCACTAAAAATATAATCATTGCTACTGACAACAATTAATGACCAATTTCTATATAAATTGAGGAAGTTATTACGATTCGAGTGAAGCACGGCAGGCAGAGCAGGTCAATAGAGATTGGTTGAATTTATAAGATTTGAATATTTTGGATATAAGTTCAAATTTTGTTATCAAAAGCCTACTTTGGTGACTGATTTAGAGTAAAAGCATATTGAAAATATTTTATTAAATTAAGAGATTGATGCAGACATGTAGTTGATTTATTAAGTTATAAACCTTGCAAAGGCCCAAGGTTTTATCTATTTTGTTTTTGAGATAAAAAGGAAAACTCAATTTGAGTATTGTTTCTGTTTTATGTACTTTCACTTTTGAGATAAGTTTTATCACTTTTCTTAAAGTGATATACTAAGAATGGAAGATAAAAAATAATTATCTAAGCAATATAGATAAAAAACAATGACATCCCTTTTGCTTTCAAAACTCAATAGCAAAACTCAGAATTAAACAGACGATACTCAAGATATATAAGTCAATCAATCCTTTAAATAATAAAATAGTCTCCAAATTTATTATTATTCGTAAGGCATCCAATTTGACGACATTTGTCATCTTATGATTGGATGTTTAATAAATTTTTTTGTATTAATTAAAAATGAAGGTAAAACTAACTGTTTAAATAAGCTTTTAGATAAAAAAAAAGTTTTTGGGTAAAAAATTACAAAAAAATTTTAAAAATTAATATAAATGTAGACACCACAATCTGTCTGGTGTTCTATTAGGATAATTTTGTTAACAAAAAAAAAATTATAATAAAAAAATGAAAAAATAGGTGTTGAGTTTGATTAAAGCTAGGTGTTTGAATTTGAACTGAATTTAGGGGTTAAAGTTGAAATTTAGAAGGAATTGGAATTTCTATTCAGATTGGAGATTTTGTGGTTTTAATCCTATAAATACAGACCCAAATCATAAAGGAGAAACATAAAAAAAAATTAGAGGGAAAACAGAGAGAAATATAGGTTGCATAGAAAAGCGGAAAGTAGTCAAAAAAAGAGTTTGGAAAATTTTTTTAGGTTTTGAAAAAAAAAAAGAGATTTTTTTTTAGGAAATTTTCTAAAAAATTTTTAGATTTCGGTGAAATTTTTCTTCGAATTTGAAATTTTTGGCTACTTTCCGGTGACATCCTTAGATTTCGGTGAAGTTCTTAGTTTTTGATATCCATTTTTTAGAAACCGATGAACTTTTAGCCAGATTCCAGCGATCCTATCCAGATTTCGATGAAAATCTTAGAATTTGATGAAGATTCAACTGGTATTCTTGGGGTTTTAGAGAGAGAAAGAGAGAAAAGAAAAGGGAAGAGAGAGAGAGGAGGGAAAGTGAAATCTAAGGAAAAAAGGCTGGGTGTTGCCTTTTATACCGGCCCCAAAACAATGCTATTTTCGCTTTAAGGAACCCCAAGATCTGCGCATTTTTCATTCAGGGACCTGACTCAATTGCAACTCACTCTGCCAACTTGCGTTTCAACCAGACCCTATAGCTGAGCCGAGCCAATTTCCTAAGCCGTGCCTTCAAGCTATTATTTGTGCCTCCAGTCGAACCATTTCAACCTTCTAGCTGAGCCATTTCTGTTTTTTGGGGGCATTTTTATTTTATTTAGTATTTTATTTATGTGTTTGTTTTTTTTTTCTCAGTATTTTTGCATGATAAAATTTGGAAAAAAATAAAATATTTTTTGAGAATAAATAAATTTTATTCAATGATAGCATTTTTAGAAATTTCAAATAGTAAATTTTTATAAAATTCCTAAGTGAAGAATTTTGTCTAAATTTGTCCCAAATGGTGGAATAATTTAGATAAAATTTCAATAACAATAATTAATATTTTATTTTCAAACAAAAAAAAACCAAAAATAAAAAATAAAATATTAATAAAATTTTAGAATTAAATACAAATTGCCCAAGGATGGGATTCTTAGAAATTTCAAATGGTAAATTTTTAAGAAATCTCTATGTGAGAAATTTGTCTAAATATGTCCCAAATGATGAAATAATTTAGATGAAATTTCAATAAAAGCAATTGTATTCTTTTTCAAATAAAAAATTTTTGGTTAAAAATATTTGATAATTATCTAAGAGTGAAATTCTTAGAAATTTCAAATGGTAAATTCGTAAGAAATCTCTAGGTGAGAAATTTCTTTAAATTTGTTTCAAAGGGTGGAAGAATTTAAATGAAATTTCAAGAAAAATAATTGTCATATTATGTTCTTGCAAAAAAATAAATAAATAAAAAGAATTTCTAAATAGGTCCAAATGGTGAAAAATTTAGAAATTCAAAAAGAGAAAATATTTCTAATTTGACTCAAATGATGGAATAATTAAATATATTTTCAAAAATAAAAACCAAATAAAAAATGATTAAACTTTTTCCGACGACGAAGCCTTTTTAAGAAATCAAATGGGATTCTTGAATACTCTTGAGATGAAGAAATATTTTTAAGAATTCTATTAGATTGATGGAGAGTTTTAAGAATTATTTTCAACATTTAACATTAAAATTTAAAATCATTAAAATCAGGACCTTAGGATAAATTTAAAATAAAATGATACCATCCTGTGGATAGGCATGTAGGTGTGTTATAACGCTTTCCATATGTAACCAAACTTTTGAACCCTATTCTGGTTTATAGACTTGAATTTATTCTTTTAGGGACCTTTAGTTAAGCTTAGGAACTCCTTAAAAAGGATAGATTCCTTAAGTGACCAATCACATCTAGTTAAAAAAGATTGGTGGTGACTCTTTTTGTTAAGTCTAGCTATAGATTTTTGAATCTATATGTTATGACAATAAATACTTTAAAAAAATATTTTTATAAAAAAATTACAAAAATTATAAAATATTATTAATTGCTTGATGAGTGTCAAATAATCAGCTCTTTAAAAGACTACTTTTCTTTTTTAAATTAATATTGTACTTTATATATATTTATATCTTCATACATAAATAAGAAAATATATAAACTTAAATTCAAATAATTTATATTATTTTAAAAATTAAAGATATCATTGATAGACAATTTTCATTCAATTAGGTCTTGCCTTTTGTTTTTCTTAGAATTTGCTTTAAAAAAGAAATAAAAAAATTTGAAGAAGATGCTTCAGAGAAACCTTTGGCAGCCAAGGGAAGTCAAAGAAAAAAATGCAATACAGAAAATGGTTTTTGGAAACTTAGTACATCCATCTGAAAATTACACTGTAAGGATCGTTACTAATCGTTAGTATTCACATTAATTTTTTTTGGGGGGCTGTTACTATGACTAGGAACCAACCAAGAAAAAAGTTCATTAAATCATTTTGTCTGATCCAAGAAATTCATACGCGGAATGGAAATTAATGGGAAATAACTTGGAGGAGTTGTCCAGAGTGATGTGGACTTCAATATTATCTTCAATGAAACAAGCAACTTTACTTTCCTTTTTGAAAGTTTCCTTTGACTATATATAAAAACGCCGAAGGCAACTTGGACGATGGTGAAGTTACGTTGTTAGAAGAAAGAACAAACGAGAATATGTCGGTGGCTAGGTAATATTAAGGGAGGGAGATTCTTAATAAACTTATTTAGATAAAGTTTGTAAAATTTTTTATTAAAAATAATTTAATAAAATCAATTGAATTTAATGAAAAGATTAATATATATTAAAAAATTATTAAAAATATCATTTATAATTCAAATTTGATAAATATTTAGTTAATAGTAAAAATTTTGTTAAGTTTTTTTATTAAAAATATCTATTTAAAAAATATATCAAATTTTATTAATTTTTTTTTAAAATTTATATATTTAATCTATATAACAAAATTTTTTAATTTATTAAATTTGATTTTAAATTGTAATTTTTATTGAATCATTTTTGTTAAAGAATTTCATAAATTTCACATAAAAAACTTCACTTTTGGAGATTTGCGGGAAGAAGGAACAAAGAAGAATCATTAAAATTTGTAGCAAAAAAATATTGTGTTTGTTACCAAATATAAAGAATATATATTAATAAAGCAAATCTCAATTTAGAGATAATGAAAATGATTATAAATATTGAGATTTGAACTCTAAATATGTTAGATATCATTTCTTAAATATATTTATATGAATTAATTAAATTAAGATCTAAATTTATAAACAAAATATTTTGGCTTATTCTTAACTTCTTTAATCATTCGAACTCGACTCTTAATATGTAATTGTATTATATATTTTTGTTGGGATCTACATATGTATCAATGTGAATTATAGTCCATTAAATCGTCTAGTAAATACAAATTTAAGTTTTTTATTTTTTTGAATTTTTGTTAAAAGGATATATATATGTATATTTTTCTTATCTTAAAATGCATATGGTTGAAAAATATTTTTTTTTCTTAGGAAAAATATTCAATTAATTTAAAAATTTTAGTTTAAGATGTTGAAAACATGACGTCACTACGTATCTAGGTTATTATTGGTTTATAATTTATAAAGCATAAACCACCAATTATATATATATTTATAGGAAAGAATTAAGTTACACTAATTTTTTTTATATTTTAGTCATTAATTTTAATAGATTTAAGAAATGAAATAAAACCTTTTTTTAACTTGTGTCTCTCATCCTTTAGATCTATTGAAATCAATTGTTAAAAAAATGTAAAACTAAAAGATTTTACACTAATGTAAGTTGATTTCTCCTTATATATATTATTTGATTACATAAA